GAGTGATAAAAGAAGATCGCCTACCTCCTGCTCATATTAATCCTTAAAATGATTTTCCTGTGTAATAGGTTCTTTTGCTCGAAATCGCAGGGCGTTTTCAGGATTTACTTTTTCATTTTACCCAATATATCATTTAGAATCAATTGAAATGGTGAGATTTCTTCCTTCCGACCAAGTCCTAGTGCGTGTTCCGAACCATTTCTTGCTACGTACACTTCAGTTGAATGGCTGGCAAGGTGACTCAAGCAACTTCGTCTACCCTACGCCTGAAACAACGGCATCCATATCTACTCCCAGCTATGAAGTTTCTTCCAGCCCCCTGACAGGCCAAGCAGACATTTCAAACACAAGTTATTCTAATAAAAAGCTTAAACAAGGCCAGGTTGGTGATGGGGACGAATTGACATTACAACCTGACAAAATTTTTATAGAGGCCTCCTCTTCTGTCTCCAGCACTTCCCTTCCCAACAAAGAAGGCCACTTTGTATCGGCTGTTCCAGGCAAAAGTCAGGCTATAACAGACAAACTCTCCATTAAACCAGCAATAGCTGAAACTTCTGCCTCCCCTTCTCAGTCTTCTGGATTAACTGGCCGATTAATATCGACTACCCTCCAGCATCGTGGTGGCGGAGCCCAAGCAGTGGCAAGGGCTCGACGACTTGCTCAGGAAACTGTGACCCTGAGCACCAGCCTGCCGCTGACGGAGGAGAGCAGCATCTTTTTTCGCTGTGACGAAACACATTTGGAACTTATGAAGGTATGCTATTACTTGGCACACCTGCAACTATTCAATGGATTTTCCTCATTTCTTTTTGCCTTAGTCTCTTCAATAAAAGGGTTGATGGATGGCAGATTTGAACTATGATTTTCGTTTAGTGTATCACTTTATGAAAAACTCGACTCATCCATTGGAATTTGGCTCTATTATATTTGAGTGTTGCTTAACCAACTTCCACTTAGCGTCAAGTTTCTTTCAGATTTCCTCTACCACAATCCTGCACTAGTCGAGTTGGGAGTAAAATTACTTA